CACAGCTCGGTGCAGGGCCGTCTCCCTCCTTCCTGCCGGCGGTCATGCCCAGCCCTGCCCTGCTCAGAGCCCACGGGCCAGGCTTCCCAGGCGTGTGGGCCCCACGGTCCTTCCCAGGCTGCCGTCCTGCTCCCTGAGAGCCTGAGCGGCCCCAGGCCTGAACAGAACTGTAGGTCACATCTCCCGGCTGCATTTCCACCCACATTCTTCCACGGCTCCCCACTGCCCTAAAGTTAATCCCCGTGGGCACAGTGGCCAAGGCCCTTCAGTCCTGGCTGTGCTTCTGTCCCCTGCTGGCTTCCTTGCGCCCAGCCGGGCATGGTTGGTCCAGCCTTTTCCGTCATGCCCTGTCACCCCATGACCTGCACTGTCTGATCAGCCCATTTTCTTCCATTAGCTGTGTCTGAGACCGGATGGCGACAAGGTGGCCTGGTCATGGAAGGAAAAGTGGGGCAGGTGTCAGGCGCACGGTCTGAGCACAGCCCAGGACAGTCAAAGCTTCTGGGGAGCGGCTGCCTCAGGGGTGAGCGGTCCCTGAGGTCCAGCAGTGCTGGGGCTCTGGTGGGCACCGGCTGCCCCAGAACAGAGAAATACCCGTGACACTCTGGCGGCCAAGCGTGAAGCCAGCCCCGAAGGTGGGGCCTGCCTGGGACTTGCCAGACCGAATCCTAAGCCTAATTCCCCGAAGATCCGCAGGAGCGATGTTTGAAAGCTGCATTCTGACAGCTTAGGGGTGCTTGGGGACGATTTGGACTTTCCACGGATCTGTCCGGCCCAAGCTTGCCGTGAGTACACAGTGAGCTGCCTGAGAGGTGACAGTCAACCTCGTCGGCTTGGTCGGGCGTGACAGCACTGTGGGCCGGGCATGGTCCCCGGACATCAGGGTTTGCTTCTCAAATGTCTAGAAGCTGGACGCCCGAGGTCAGGGTGCTGACGGGGTTGGTCTCTGGTGAGACCCGGCTTCCTGGCCCGGAGCCGGTGGGCCTCCCTTGGGGCCCACATGTGGCCTCCGCTCCGCGCACCAGGCTCCCCACCACTTGGACGGGCGCAGTCCCGGGAGATGCGGTCCCACCTGCACAATCTCCCTGCACCCTGTCATTGCCCGAGAGGCCCCAGCTCCAGACACAGCTGCCGTGGCGACTGCAGCTTCAAGAGTGGCGTTTCTGGGGATGCAGTTTCGTCCCCAACAAAAGCCAACAGCTTTCAGAGGGCGACAGGGGCAGCCAGAGCCTCAGGAAGTCACCGTGAGTACACAGGCCTCTGGACACTCGAGGAAACGAGGCTGCATGGGAGACTAGCAGGAGGTCCCCGGACGGCCCGCGGGGCGGGGTTCGAACACACTGGCTTTCTAAGTCCAAGGACAAAAGGAAGTCAGGCTCCAGGAGCTGGCGTGTTAGGAGAAGGCAGAATTCGACAGTGTTTGCTCGGGGAGAGCGAACATGGGAACAGATAGGGCCCTTGGGCCGCGAGCCGGCAACCGTGCGGAGAGCCAGGCCGGAACGCAGGCAACGCTCGTGGTCACCGGGCCGCGGCTTTCCTGGACAGGCTCAGCGGACTGCGGAGGGCCAGGAACCCAGAAAAACCAACACAGACTGTTGGCACCGAGAAGCAGAGTGGAGAGAGACTGGCCTGGAGGGTGGGGCGGGGGGGGCAAGGCTGGGCGTGTAGACTCATCCCGCAAGAGAAAGCAGAGAAAATGGGGCGGAAAAATATTTGAAGAAATGGAGGCCAAAATATGCTCAAAGAAACACAGCCCTGCGGCTTGGGGAGGCCGACGCAGGATGGGGGGCACCACGCCCAGGGACGTGGCCATCTGCGGCTTCCCCGGTTTGCAGACGCGAACGGAGCCAGGGACAAGGCCAGGCGTGGAGGTCATCTCCGGACGACTGGGAATTGCAGGAAATGAAGCTATTTACACAGATCGAAGTGCAGAGAGTTTGTCGCTACCTACGGGCAGTACAAGAAGGAGGGGCTAGTGTGGCTCCAGGCCGAGAGACCTCGCAGGTGATGCCCGTGCAGGCCCGCGGGGAGCTCAGGAGGGCCGGGAAAGCGGGGCTCAGGCCGGCCTCGTCCCTGCACGGCTCAGCGCCTACCGCAGTGTTCGGTCTTGGCGAGCAAACCCGTGCGCACTTGTCCAGGGTCACTCATTTAGGATGGCCCCGGAGTCTTTCTGACACATTCCCCTGATTCCTCAAACACGTGTTTCCTGTCTGGGACCAGAATCACCACGAGTTCCTCTTATGCTTCCTGTGACTCAACCTTCGAATCACCTCTCCAAGGAGCCTGGTTCCCTTTTGCAGAGAATGGTGCGGAGGAACCGAGGTCTGGGCGCCGGGAGTGCTCAGCTCTGCGTCTGCCCGCCCGCCTGGGCGGGTGGGGTTGAGCCGTCTTGGCAGAGCGAGCCCCCTTCCCACCTGCCTTCCCAACCCTGGGAAAACCATTGTCCTCTGACACACCCCAGGCACACGGGAAGGAGTCACCCCGGCGGAGAGCCAGCCTCAGGAAGGCCGAGACTCGGATTTGTTTATCGCTCCTTTACTGTTCAGCCCGAGAATTTCTAGAAACAACGCTCTGTCCAAAGTTTCTCAGGGCTGATTCTGCGGCCCTCCGTCCCGGGGTTACGTCATCACTTGCCATACGGTTGTATCCCACTCATTTACTCTCGAGGCGGTAGATTAATAGATCCCAAAGGCACAACTACACAAAGAAGGTCGGCTCGGAGCTGGCGCAGGTGGTTAGGTGTCCGACTCCTGATTTCAGCTCAGGTCACACTCTCAGGGTGGTGGGATCGAGCCCCGCATCCATCGGGCTCCTCCACGCCCAGCGGGGAGCCTGCTGGAGAGTCTCTGTCCGGGCGCCTCTGCCCCTCCCCCTGCTCGCTCTCTCTCCTTCTAAAATAAATAAATAAATTTGTAAAAAAAAAAAAAAAAGACGGTATGCAATGGGAGGGGTTTAACGTCCTCCCCAGCCCAGCCCCGGGGGTGCCTAAGCTCTGTCCACGCCCATCTATCCCTCCGTGTCTCTTCTTGCAGAAATAAGCAGACAGACATGGTTTCTCATCGCCCTTTCTGTCTCACCTGGAAGGCTGTGTACATCACATGCCCTCCGGCACCTGGCGTTTTCCACTTTACGATACACCTGGATGTCCTGTCCCTCCACGCTGGTCGATAGAGACCTGTGGGTTATGTTTCACAGCCCCGTAGGCCTGTTGTGGGTGCATCTGTCGTTCAGCCGGTCTCCCGGGTGTGGCCCCGAGCCGACTGTCGACAGCCGCATCACAAACCGCGCTTTCCTGGCCAAGCCCTGTGTGTCCTACCGCGACTGCCGTCCCAGGCGCTTCCTCACGGTAGGTTCCCAGGAAGGGGTTTCTAGAACAAAAGATACACGGGCACGCAGTTAAGGTTTTACGATGTTGCCACACTCCCCTCTATGATGGTTGCACCGCGTGCCGGCGGCCGAGCCGTGCGTGGGCGCGTGTGGGTGGTGTGCGGGGCTCTGCCGGTTTTGGCAATAGGACAGGCGACGAGCGGCATCTCCGCGTTGTTTCAATTTGCATTTCTCTTATTGAATGAAAATGCGCCCTGCGTCCATTCACCAGGGCTGCCGTGACAAAGTACCGGCCCTTAAACACCAGCGGTACAGGCTCTCCCAGATCTGGAGGCTGGAGTCTGAGGCCAGGCCCATGCGGGGACCTCCCAAGGCCTCTCTCCTCGGCGTGTAGGTGGCCATCTGCTCCCGCGGTGCTCACGCGGTCACCCCTGTGTATGTGTACCTTAGTCTCGTCGGATAAGGACCCCAGGTGTATTTAATCTGAATGGCCTCATTTTGACTTAATTGCCCCTTTGAAGTGTCCACGTCCCACCAGTCGTGTGTGGAGTTTCTGGGCTCAGGACTCCAGCATAGAAATTGGTGGGGGGCAGGGAATGCGATTCATAACGAGCCTGTCTTTGTATGTTTAGGGGTCATGTTAAGTTTTTCAGGTGAATTATCTGGTTATGTCATTTGTCCATTTTTCTGATGGGTTTTCAGCCCTTTTTTTTTTTTTAAGATTTTATTTATTTGACAGAGAGAGAGGTCACAAGTAGGCAGAGACGCAGACAGAGCGAGAGGAGGAAGCAGGCTCCCCGCAGAGCACAGAGCATGACGTGGGGCTCGATCCCAGGACTCTGGGATCATGACCTGAGCAGAAGGCAGAGGCTTTAACCCACTGAGCCACCCAGCTGCCCCAGTCCTTTTTTCTTTAATTTTTTAAAAGTTTCTTCTAGAGTATGGCTATTAGCCCTCACATGTGACACATGTTGGAAATCTTTTCTCCGGCCTTGTCATTCTTCTTTTGACTTTGTTTAGGGCTTTGGTATTAAAAAAAGCTTAAAAATAGAGTCAAGTGATTTTCCAGTACTTCCTTTCATTACATCTGGATTTTGATGCACAGTTAGTGTGGCTCATGGGTTTGTAGGGGCTGATCTGCCCGGCTTGCGTGACATTCCCCAGAATTCCTAGAAGGCAAGAGCCTTACAGGGCCTGCAAAATGAGCTCCCACAGTGCTGACATGAGCTCAAACTCCTGCCACAAAACCCTTCCTTGTGAAGACATAGGCTTCCTAGTGGTCCCACCTTCAGGAGTGAACTCTGACACAACCAGAAAGCCTTTCCCTACATCCACATCATAGAGGAACTCACTGGTGACTTCTCTCATTACTCACACGGTTGCATTTCCACGCTTAGCCTTTGGGTCTCTGATCCATTTGGCGCTGACTCTCATGCACGAGGTGACTGTGCTCCATTTTAATCTCCTTCCCCCTGGATTTCCAGTTGTCCCGACAGCACGTATTTATAACACTCTATTTTTTCCCAGGATTTAAGATGTCTCCTTTGTAGTACAACCTGTTCATTTTGGTTCACAAGAGCCCTCTGTATATATTTTCTCCCCAAATCCGCAATCTGTAAGATTGTTTTGGGTTACACAGGTGTCATTTGCCTATACCACTTTTTATGGTTCCCAGCTGTATTATGAGAATTACGAAAATACAATATAATTTCAAATGTGGCTCTCATCTTGTTAAGCAAGGTGATCATATCTGCTTTCACAGTCTGTGTGGTCCTGATGTGTGTGTCTATCCCCAACATCATGCTGACGTCCAAGCCCCCAGTATGGTGACGTGGGGAAGTGGGCCTTCGGAAGGTGACTAGGTCATGAGTGTGGAGCCCTCATGAATGCAATCAGTGCCCTTATGAAAGAGACCCCACAGAATGCTGCTATTCCTTCCACCATGAGAACACTGAGAGGTCTGTGACCCACCAGAGGCCCTCCTTGACCCTGCTGGCACCCCGACTAGAGCGTTCAGCCCCCAGAATTGAGAACTAAACATCTGCTGTTCGCAAGCCACCCAGCGTGTGTTTTTTTGTGATGTCAGCCCAGGCGGACTGGGAGAGCCGGCCTTGTAATTTCAAGGCCGGGAGCATTTGTGGGTCTGCTTCTATTATCTCTTTCTTTGCAGCGTTTCTCTTCTTCCATCTTAGTACCCTCAAACGTCGTGTCGGGAAACTGTACTTGAAAACACATGGTGAACAGGACTGGTTTGAAGCGTAGGGGACATTTTTGTCCTTGCATTTCGTCTCCTCCCGGCAGGCATCAGGGAAGCTGGTGGTCACAGGACACCCTAATCCATGTTCGAGGTCTGAGACCCCCAGGCCCTGGGGTGGTGGAAAGTTTAGCTGCAAATTCATGCAAGGGCTGGTTTGCTTGCGCTCACTGGCAAACTCTCCTCCCAGGCGGGGGCTGGAGCGGCGGCTTCAGAGAGGCCCGTCCTTAGAAAGGCCTGACAAGACAAAAGCTTTATCTTTCCTCCACCCTCCAAATCCTCTCTGTTTTTGTGTTGATAGAACCCCTGGAAGCTAACTGGCAGAGGGGCCTGGAAATACGGTCTGCACATTCCACCGCTCCCTCCAACCTCCCAGTGAAGGGTCTTCCTAGCCACCTCCCCCTGGGTTTCAGGGACTCAGAGAGATCCTACTAAGCCCTCTGTCCTCTGCCCCCAGGTAAGGGCTCAGATGATCGGGGTTGAGAAGCCAGGCCCACACAGAGCTCCTGTGGGACCTTGGGGCACATGCAGCTTCTGAGGGGTCTGGCCAGGGTCAGAGAATGCAGAGGTGGGAGGCAGCAGGGCCAAGGCTGGCCAGAGAGTGGACAAGTTCAGATGGGTGGAATGGAGGGGCAGAAGGAACAGGACGTTCCGGATGGGGTGTTGACTGTGGGTGGGGGCAGGAGGCCAGGCCACCAGAGCAAGAATAATGGGTGAGCCGGGAGGGGTTGTTTTTGTTGTTGTTGTTGTTTTAAGTTTTAGATTTTTTAAAAAAAATTTTAATGATTGAAAGAAAAGATCCAGTCTGCATCTCCTGGAAGAACTAGTTGTGCCTCCCCTTGGACTTGGCCTTGGCCTACTGCCAGCCAGGGTTAAAGACCAGGGTCTCTGGCCTTCCCAGACCGAGCAAGGGAGGGTGTTGAATCTCTGGGGAGGAGAGGAGGTGGTGTGACCGGGATTAGGGTGTTCGTTCCGGAAGCTTCCAATGGAAGGGAGCAGGGACTGGCACGGGCATGTTGACAAAGATGCTTGGTGTGCGCTTGGCACCCGTTCCCCGGGGGCGCACTCCCTACGCTCTAGCTCATCTGGGCAGGGCACAGAGGCCACCGCAGAATAATAATGCCCCCCACCCTTGGGTGATTTCCCCTCCTCGCAAGAAGAGTGGCCGGATGGTGTCCTGTGGTTAGCAGGCTGCCCGCAGTGACCCATTCAGAGACACATAAATGGGTTTTCAGTGGCTGGATGGACGGCACACCCCTGGCCCCGAGGCATGTGTGCTGGTGGGCGGATCTCAGGGAGGATGCCAGCTGTCCTGCTGACTGCTCTCCTAGCTTTGGTCTTAGTGCCCAGGACCCAGGCAGTGTGGCTGGGGAGGCTGGACCCCCAGCAGGTAACAGCTGCCCTGTTGGGATGGCACGGGCCTGGAGGCCCGTCTGTTCTAGGGGCCCAGGCCCCTCCTGTGGGGCCATGCAGCCTTGGGGCTACCCTCCCAGTGGCAGCCCAGACTGGCACCAGCTATGGGGGGACGGGCTAATCTGAGGCATGGGCCCTGGGTTCCCAGGTAGAGAGAGGAAGCCTCCAAGGGCTGGAGGGTCAAGCCCCTCATGTGCTCCTCCCCAACCAGCTGCTGGGGCCCTGGTATGTTCTTGCCGTGGCCTCAGGCGAGAAGGGCTTTGCGCTGGAGAAGGCCACGAAGAACATCGAGGGCGTTGTGGTGACCCTGACCTCAGAAAACCACCTGAGAATGCTGTCCTCCAGGCACCGGTGAGCAGGCTGGGCCCCCGCGTCTGGGTGGGGCTCAGGCCGGGCTGCGGGGGCCTCCGCGACACACGAGCTGCTGCTGCACGTGGGCTCTCCGGGGACTCCGGCCACCCCTCGTTCCCACGTCTGCCTGCAGGAGATGGAGGGCCTGGGGGCCCCGGGCCAGACCCCGATTAGGAAAGGCGGGTTGTGCTGAGCCGGCGCCTGTGACACACAGTCGCATCAGGGCTTAAAGGAGTGTGCGTGGGGCCCCTCCGTCCGGCTGAGTCATTCCATTTTATCCGTCGGCCCTTGGACAGGAAATACATGTGCACGGCTCCAAAGTCAGGGTCCCCAGGGCGTACTGTGGGGGTGCTCCCCGCTGCCCGGCCAGCCTGTCTCCTCCCGGAGGGTAGCCCATGTCTGTGATGCATGGACAGTTACACGCCCGCACACGTGTGTCATTTGCCCACATGTGCTGGGGGTTGTTCCCTACCAGCCCACAGAGGCTTTGCTCTCTTTTAAAGCATTTCAGGTTTTGTTCTCTTTGGGCTTTATGGAATGTCTAAAAGCTGCAGTAAGATGAACACAGCGCCAAGACTGCCGCCTTCACCCCTCTAAGTGTGCGGCTCGGGGGCACGGAGCACACTCACGCTGCTGCGCCGCCGTCCCCTCCCTCCCTCGCCACCAGGCCACTCCACCTCTGGTGGACTCCTGCGGTCCACCTCCGTCCCCACTAAGCCACTGAGCACAGTCCCCTCCCCCGCTGGGTGTCTGCGTGGACTCCTGCGGGGCCTCCTGGGAGTCGCTCTGTCGGGATCCGTCCCTCCGTGCCGGGCGGACCTCGCTGGGGACCACGTCCTCCTTGTCCAACCGCAGTGTGGCCGGTGTCGGGATTCCTGCCTTTTCCAGGCTGAGTCATGTTCCGTCGTGTGGACGGGCCTCGTGGTTGCTTCCACCATTGGTTCTGTCAACGGTGCTGCCGCGAGCATGGGTGTGCGAGTCTCCCTTTGAGCCTTTCCCTGGGTTCTTCTGGGTGTGCGCCTTGCAGGGGCCTCGCTGGCCGGACGGTGACCGTCCCCCACACGGACCAGGGGCTCGGCTCCTCCTTATCGCGGGGTGGCCCCACACAGGCCTTCTGCTGCTGGACAGACCGCGCTCTCCGACCGTCCGCACTTGGAAACGCCCTCTAGGGAGGGGGCCGGGGGGCCTTTGTCTCTGAGGGGTCCCCTGAAGAGTCAGTCCCTGGGGGCTGCAGGCTCCGGGTCACACGTGTTCCCCAGCTCTCGGTCCTCTGTCATTCTCCGTCGTCGGATGGGCCCCAGGTGACCCCGGGAGCTCTTACGCGCCCTGGTGACGACGGCAGAGCCCGGGCGCAGCAGGGCGCCCTCCACGCTGCCGGCCCGGTGCGCTGCCTGCTCACGAGTCCCGCGTGTGTTTCTCTGAGGTGTGTTTTTCCCGGTTTGTAGGAACCTGTAAGTGTTATATTGGATGCTTGTCTGCGACAGAAACCGTTGCAAATATATTTTCCAGTCTGTCATTTTTCTTATAACGTTGAGGAGGGTTTTTTCCTTTTTTTACCTCCAGGAAGGGTTTCTTTCCGATTTCGCGTGGATGCGCGCCAGCTCTCTCTTGCAGCGCGGTCATCTAGGGACGGCTCCAAGCCCCTGGCGCTTTGGGCCCCTTTGCTGCATCTGGGGTTTGACCCTGGGAAACAAGGAGGAGCACTTTGTTTTTCTCCAGACGACGACCCAATTTCTAACATCGTTTGTCGAGTTGCCCCCCGTCCTCCACCGACTCAGGCTGACTTGGTCACACGCTAAACTCCCACGCTCCCATTTTGCTTTATTTTTGGACTTTTAAAAAAAAGACTCATGTGTTTATTCTAGAGAGAGTGAGCACGAGCAGGAGGGCCGGGCGTGGGGGCAAAGCTTCCGCGGGCTGTGCTGAGCGCGGAGCCCGCCGCGGCCTCGCGAGCGCCACATCCCACCGGAGCCGAAACCGAGAGCCGGACGCTGGATGGACGGCGCCCCCCAGGTGCCCCTGCTGTCGGCCTTGCCGCTCATTCCTTTGCTCAGTCTGTTGACTGTGCAGACCCCGTGTTTGCCCCATGGCAGCCCCGCGCTCCGCTGCGCCCTTTCCTGCACGGCTCCTGCCGGCTCTTCCTCCTTCCAGAAGGTCCCAGCCGCGAGCTCGTCCTGGGCAGACACCGCGGCGTCTCTGCTGGCTTCGTTCAGTTCCCGGACCGACCTCGGAGGGCCGTCGGCCGTCTGGATGCTGAGTGTCTTCACCCAAAGCTGCAGCTGACGCTGTGTCGGTCCGAGGCTCCCACCGCGCCCGCCGCGCAGCCCCAGCACGGGGCTCTTGGGAGGTGGAAGGAAGCCGGTTTGCACTCTGCGCTCGCACCAGCTCCTTCCCAGGCTGGGTGGGATCCGCGGGAGAACAAGGTTTCCAGGTAGCGGGGGCCGGCGGCATCCAGGACCCCCTGTGCCGCACGCTGGCGGCCGGCCAGATCCAGGAGGTAGAGTCCTCGTCCCTCCCGGTCCTGAGTCCCGACCCGCAACCGAGGACGGACGGTGTCTCTTCCAGGCTGGAGAGGTGTGACGTGAACGTGGTAGAGCTGCTGAGACAGAAGCCCGGATGGGCGTTTGAGAACCCCTGTAAGGCAACGGCCTCTGCTGTCTCATGGGGGGCACAGGGCGGGGGAGGGGCGCTTGGCTCCTGGGCCCTCCCCGGTGGTTTCCACTGCCTGCAGCCCGCCTGGGGTCCCCTGCCGCCTGCCCAGTGCCGTGGGGAGGGGACCGGTCTGGTCCGTCCCCAAGACTTCCACTAGGAAGCGAAAGGACTCATTTTGTCAGAGGTTTTACCCCAATTTTGAGGACAGAGGGCTCTACCTGGCATGCCCCCACGGGGACCCCGGGCCTCCCTCTGTGGTGGTGCCCCCCGAGGGGACAGGATCTGCATGAGCTGGGACAGGTACTCGCCAGCTACCCGTCCCGGAGACCCTCTGTGTGCTGGCTCAGGGACCAGGAGACAATGCTGGGGAGCTCTCAGCTTTCCGGGCGGCCTCTCGTGCGGTCTGATGCTCCCCCGGGGGCACGTGTTTTCCAGCCCTGGGCGTGTTGGACTACCGGGTGCTAGGCACCAACTTCAGGGACTACGCCATTGTGTTCACGCAGCTGGAGTTCAAGGACGAGGCCTTCAGCACCGTGGAGCTGTACAGTAAGTGCTGGAGACCAGGGGCCAGGGCTACCACTCCCACAGCTATGCTGTGCCCCCAGAGTCCCAGAGGCTCATCCCAGCCCCCGCTCCCCGTCAGGAAGGATGGCTGGGGCACGGGGCTCATGTGGTGAGGGCCCCTGTCCTGCCCCGTAGGCCGGACGGACCTGGCCAGCCAGGAGGCCATGCGCCGCTTTGCCAGATGGAGCAAGGGTCTGGGCTTCCTGTCCCAGCAGCAGGCCGTGCTGCAGCAGGACCGTGAGTGTCACCCACTGCCCACAGGCCCCTGTCCGGTCTCGGGGTCCTCTGGGCCTCAGGGAGTTAGGCAGGACTGGGGTGGGAGCTTTTCATGGGGTCACCTGTTCCTGCCCAAGCCAGGCCCAGACAGGGGCAGCCCCGTCTCGGGCAAGGTTGTGGGCAGAGCGGGGCGGCCCCAGTGTGTCCTGGGTGCCCACCCTCACAGGTCTTCCTGTCCCTCTAGTCACCTGTGCACACAAGGCTTTCCAGGTAAGCTGCCTTCCCGAGCATCACCCCAGACCTACAGCCCTGAGCCTTGCCGCTGTGAGGGGCCGGAACTGGGATGGGGGCAGACACCCCTCACAGTGAGTCTGGGGTCCCCCAGTGGTCTTCTTGGTTTCCAGTGACTGCGGCAACCTGCAGGGGGGACAGGGGGACAGTGCCTGCTGAGTCGTGTGAGGCTGGCCAGGCGCTGGCCTCCTGGCTCGGCTGCCTGGGAGCTCAGCATGGGGCGGCGCGCTCCCAGGACTCAGGCTGCAGTTCCAAATAAAGCGATTCCACAGGCGCCTACAGATGCCTCTCACCTGTGTGCCGAGGGCGGACAGAAATGCCAGACGGGGCACTGCCCTGTTGGGGCTCCCGTCGGTGCAGGAGGCAGAGGCTGGGTGCGGTGGGCTTGCCAAGGGCTGGACCACGCAGCACAGAGCAAGCTCTGGAGGAGGGGACACACGGACCCAGGTCTTGGCTCCGGAGTGGGGGCTGGGCTGGGGGCAGCGGCTCCTCAAGCAGAGGTCACCAGGATCCCCAGCTGGTGGGAGGACCGTCTGAGTTAGATCAGACCCTGGGGGTGGGCGTGGGGACCACCAGGCTGCATGGCTGGGGTGCCACGACGTCCAGGGCACAAGAGCGCGGCTTTCCCGGTCTGGGGCTCTGGGGCCAGGGCAGGGCCAGGATTCCAGAGGCTGTCGGTCCTCCCGTGGTCTGGTGGGGCCGTGCCTGACATCGTGGCCAGAGCACGGGCCATCGGCGGAAGTGGGGTTGGGGCTGGCCATTGCTCTCGGAGAGGAGCAGGGCCCGTGGGGTCGGGGCTAAGCAGGTGCACACACGTCCAGCAGCCCTGTCCATCAGCACCTGCCTGGACAGAGAGCCCTGGGGGCCTGCTGGCGCCATCTGAGCCCCGTCCTCACGGGGGTCCTGTTTCTCACATGCAAGTAACCCTAGGCAGTGACTCATGGGGACGCCTCCGGGCTGTTCACCTCTCTTCTGGGGAGGCTGGGATGCGAGGCCCAGGGCCTCCCGTGGGAACAAGATGGCCTTCGAATTCAGGCAGACCTGCCAGGCCGAGCACCTGGGCAGTCCGTGTGGGTCCCAGAGCCCTTCTCCCCCCACTGGCCCACCTGAGGCTGGCTCAAGGCTCCTGGTTGGCTGGACGCCCACGGCAGGGTCCGGTGGGCGGGGAGATTTAAACCCAGTGCCGTGGTGGCTGAAGGAGGAGGGTGACAATGGGACCCGGGAGGCTGACGTGCGTGCTGGTCTTGGCGCTTGTCCTGGCTCTGGGGTCCCGGCCGCAGGAACAGCTACCCAGGGAGTCCCAGAACCTCAACTGGAACAGGGTGAGCCACACGCACCTGCTGTGCCCAAGCCAGACCGCCGGGCCGATGGGGCCAGGGATGCAGCGTGTGACGGGACGATCACTCCCTGAAACTCGGCAGTGGCCCGAGGCAGGTGGGAGTTCCAGGCCCCGGCCTCTCTGTAGGAGCTCACAACCCCGCAGGAGGGGGTAGGGAAGGGCCCCAGGCAGGGACAGCCTCAGGGCACCGGAGATGCCAGGGGCCAGAGGCAGAATGAGCAGAGCATGTTCTGGAATAACGAGATGGTAGGTGGGTGGAAGGTTCTAGTGGGGGTGGACAGGGACACCGGCTGCCCGGGAACGTGGGTTTGTGGCAGGAAGTCCGGCGGATGGGACTGAGGGCCAAGCTGGAAGGAAGGGGAGGCCTTGCACAGGAGGTGAGTTTCAGCATACGGCACCCATGGCCCAGCCCTTGGGCCTCCGGCCAGCCTGGCACCTGCCCACCAGAGCCCAGGGTGGGCAGCCGGGGTCTGGCACACAGGCTGTGCCTGCCTGGGGGTGTGGGACCTGGGCTGGGCCTCGGGCCAGTGTCAGGGTCTGCTGGGTTCCTGGGGGCCTGGCTGGGAGCCTGGCACGGGCAGCTTCCCCAGCACGGTCTCCACAGTTTTCAGGGTTCTGGTACATTCTGGCTATCGCCTCTGATGGCCACGGATTCTTGCCGGGCAGAGACAGGAGGAAGCTGGGGGCATCCGTGGTAAAGGTACACACCACAGGCCAGCTGAAGGTGGTCCTGGCCTTCAGCCGGTGAGCGGACCGAGGCGGGGGCCCGGCACACTCTTCCCAGAGCCCTGGCCACAAACAGCCCAGGGCATCTCCCCCGTCCATGGGGGAAAGGGAGCCGGTGAGGGGCGGCGAGCCAGACCCACGGTTATCTGGAAATCTAACAGACTGTCTCTGTGGCCCCAAACCCCTTCGTGCCCCTCAAATTCAAGGCCTGCTTTTGAGAGAGGCCACCAGGTGTGTGGGGATGTTCCGCTTAAGCTGTGGGACTGGCCCTGGTCCCGACTGGAAAATCCCAGAAACGCAGAGCCAACAAAGGGCTCCCGCTTGCCCCCCTAGGTCACAGGGGTGCCGGTCACACACGTTAATTCTGCGGAAAGATAGGAAAAGGGCGACGTTCAGGAATACTTGTGCGTACGGTGGCCCGGGGCCCAGAGAGAAAGACCTGGGAGTCGGCGTGTCCCTGGCCTCAGGGCCACAGAGCCGGAGATGCTCTGTCCCAGGGCTGGGTGTGTGGGAGGGGCAGTGGCCCACGGGGTGTCCGGCAAGCCACGGTCCCAGAGCCCACAAGCATGCGAGAGCCTGCAGCCTGGGCCTGGGTGGTGGTTGGGTGTGGGGGGCACTCCTGGCCCTTTCCAGACGCCCCTGCTGGGCAGGGTGACCCCCTGGACCCACACTTGTCTCCCGGTCCAGTGAAGGGGGTGGAGGACTTCCGCGTGCTGTCCACCGACTACAGCTACGGCGTGGTCTACGTGCGCCTGGGCCGGGCCGGCCGGACCTCCAGGACCCTGCTGCTCTTCAGTGAGTCCGGCGGGCGCCTCTGGGGAGGGGGCGCGCGGGGCAGGTGAGGTGGGGGTGGGGGGCGACAAGCCCAGAGGGGAAGGCGTGGCCAGAGGAGGCCCCGCCTCAGTGTGGGCTCCGCGGCAGAGCGCCACAACCCCGGTGCCCACGATGGACGCTGATTCTCACGGTTCAGCAGGCCAGCCTCGTGGGTTCTGGGGGGGCGTCCCTTCCTGGTTTGCCCACGGCCGCCTTCTCCCCGTGTCACGTGTTGGGGGTGCTCTGGCGTCGTCCTCTCCCTACACGGATGCTGATCCCAGCGTGAGCACCCCCCAACCCCGGCACCTCCCCCTCGCTCTGAATGTGGGAGGACACGGACACGCAGTCCACGTCGCCCGTCACGGCCCTTGCACGGCGGGCTGGCAGGAGGCGGGAAGTAGGAGCACAGGCTTGGGCCACACAGAACAAGCCAGTGGCCAGGTGGGCGGGCCAAGCGCAGGCCGGATGTGGGAACCACGTGAACAGGTCTCTGATGTGGCTGTCGCAGGGCTAGGTGGGGGACGCCTGTGCAGAGGGTGAGAGACCAGCAGTGGGACTGACCATCCATGTGGAGGCAGGGTCCCCCCGCTCCCCGGGCTGAGGGCAGGATCGGGGGAACAGGGCCGGGGCTGAAGGGACGGGGGACAAGGAGCTTCTGTCCAGGGAGGGGGTGGGGAAAGGAGGCGCAAACCCACTCTGGGCACCGAGGCCCATGGGACGTCCATCAGAGAGGGCGGGGGGTCCTGTGGAGTCTCCATGGGGGGTGCGGCCAGGGGCAGGGGTGCGGCTGGAGGGGCTGCGTGAGCAGAGAGGGCTCCCCACGTGGTCCTTTGTGATGCCCGCTTCCAGGCCGTGCTGGGGACACTCGCCTGCGTTGGAGCACGGGGGGAACAAAGGACACCCCCGGCCCCCCGCCGTCTCCCTCAGCAGCACCTGTCCTGCCAGCTTGGCGGGCACTGCGGTGGCCCCGGGCTGGGTGTGGCCCCAGACGGCCGGACCTGGGGACACTGACCTGCCGACTTTGCTTCTAACCACAGGCAGACAGAACATGTCCAGCTTCCCGAGCATGAGAAAATTCGTAGACATATGTGAGATTTTGGAGGTCGCCCACGGTGTGACTGTCCTCCCGAAAGATGGTAACAGACGCCACGGGTCCTTCTGTCTGGGTCAACCGCACGCCCGGCCCCTATCCATCCCGTAAAGCTGACTTGCGGGGCGTGGACAGAGGGAGGGGGACAGGGCCGTCTTTCCCAAGATCTGCAGCTGGCTGGGAAGGTGCACCCTGGGTAGGGCCCCACCCCCCCACCCCCCACCGCCTCACCCCCCACCCCCTCACCCGCCCACCGTCACCCGTCCCTCAGCAGCACCAGACCTGCCCTGCCCACAGGCCTGAACAGGTGGCACCGGGCCTGCCGTCTGGTCGCGTGCTGGAGGACCCGGGATGCCTGGCCTGGCCGCCTGTAGTGCCCCAGGCCAGCACAGGGGGACACTGGGAGGGCCAAAGAACACTGTGGGCCGACGGGCTCCCGCAGACCCGCGCCCACTCAGGCCTCCTCTCCCTCTCGCAGACGCCTGTGCACACCATCCTGCCCTGAGAGCCGGCCGTCCCCTCGCTGCTTCCCTTGGGGCTCCGCCTGCGGGCCCCCCAGACGCCAGGAGCGCTGGCCTAGACGTGCTGAGACGTGTTTGATGACCTCGGGTCACTGATGGGGTGACGGCTGGGGCCGTGGCTGTAGCCCAGGAGGGATCCTTTAGGATCATGGAGGGATGGGTAGGAGGTCAGGTGCTGACCGGGTAGGGAGAGGCCCAGCCAGGCCTACTCTGCTCATGGCCTCCCGATTACCCGGCGGAATGAGGCTGTCCCTTACCTGCTGGGAAATAGACCAGGGCTGGTCCAGCGTCATCCCTGCCGTGTTCCTTCTCCGCGGTGCGTCTGCCGCCATCCCGGGGTCCCTGACGGCCCGCACTTTCTCAGAAAGTTCACTTACCCACACGCCATTTCTAAGCACCTGGGACTCGTCAGGCACGTGCTGGCGGCTGGAGAGGCCTATAGGCAAATGCAGCTTCGGGGATCTGGCGAGGCCACTGAGACAGGCTCGCGGCAGGGCTGCCGGGCACGCACACCAGCGCAACTCGGAGAAACGTGTCTGCAGACCAGTGCGAAACGGCAGCAGGTCTGACTCGTGCCAGGCGGGGCAGGATGGTCAGGGAGGCCTTCTCGGAGGAAGGGACTTTCGGAAGAGGGGTGAAGGACAGAGGTAGTTCGGTGAGTTGGTGGGCATCTGTGGAAGAGGAAACCATGTTTGAAGAACCCCAGGGTAGTGGGAGCAGAGGGAAGGGCAAGGGGGGGGACATGCAGGCTGCGGGGGGGG